GATGCTGTGATTACTTAATATGTTTTTAGTTTCAGTGTATACACATTTTAAAAATATAATTTTATTAAACCTTCTTTTTTTAAAAAAAATCAATGGATATTTCTTTAGAAACCTTAGTTATTAGTCTGTAATACCATAATCAGCAGAACTTCTGAGGGAATTAACATTTTGCATCTCTGCTACTTAAAGGACCTTGACTCTTGGTGCTTTCATGGACAGAGCCCATATTCCACCAAAGCCAACAAAGCAGTGCACAACTAATGATGTCTTCTGAGCAGCAATTGGGTTGACCAGGGCAATCCTAGGCTAGGGGGCAGCTTGAAGAAGACACTGCCAGGGGTAGCTTTACCCCAGAGATTCCTTTCCAGTCTCCACACTTCCAGCCAAGCTCTGACCCAAGGTTTCCCAGAAGGCTCAGTCAGGGGCCCCTTGCAGGTTTTCTGTAATCAGCAGGCATGGATGCTTCTCAGATCATAGGTACTTGAAGGAAGCAAAGGAAAGGTGCTGAAGGCAGTGGTGTCTGTGTGTGCAAATTAGTGCTGGACAGAGAAATAAGGACGTGCCCCTCAACATGCTTAGCTGCCTATGCTTGGGGGTCAGTAAGTATCAGCACTATGTAATGGCACAGGGGCAGCTTAGAGGGGACACTGGACATAACCATATTATTTTTTTGGCAACCATATAGAAGTGGTTTGTCACTATAGGTAGTCCTCAGTTTACTGTAATTGGGACTAGGAACTCCATCACTAAGCAACGTGGTCATAAAGTGAAAAATCATTTGACTGTGCCAACTTACAATGGCAGTTCTGGTTGTGGTTGCTAAGCAAATCACGCACGGTCATTAAGCAACTTGCGACTTCCTGCCAACTTCCCTGCTGACTTTGCTTTTTGGAAGCCAGTAGTGAAGGTCACAAATGGCAATCACGTTACCACAGGATGCTGTTGTGACCACAACTTTGAGGACCGGTCGTAAGTCTCCTCATTCAGTGCCATCATAACTTCTAACGGTCACTAAGCGAATGATCACTAAGCAAGGACTACCTATACCTTCTTCGGGGATTTTTTTCTGATTTTTTTACTCTAGCTTCCAGGTTTGAGATTTCCTGGTGATTTTCCA